CCTAAATTTATCTAATGTATGACACTTTTCCCCAACTACTCATACTTAATAAAGGGGTGTTTGGGAAGCCCAATAAACACTTTTCAGAAGCATTTTTTCATAAATCGAGATAAACTTTTTCATATATTTATCTCGTACACTATAAAAACACTTCTGAAACTATAGTTTTGATTTTATCCAAACATTCTAAACGAGACATCAATGGGTTTTAATTTAGTTTGAAAAAAATGCACTTCCATTAATTAATAACTTCGTTGAATGGTTGAAAATATTTATTGATGGGACATGCTATGTGTAGTTAGTTACACATACATCCACTGATATACATTCACTACTCACAGAGGAGATAAGGACGAGATGGAAAAAATATCCTCACTATCATACTTCATAAATAAATTAAAAAGATAGGTACTGTTATATAAAATGATAATAAAATATAATAGAGATATAAATTAAAGTCTATCATTCTTAACTTATCACATACCCTTGCTTTCTTCCTTCCTTTTTTTTTTTTTTGGCTCACACGTGTACGTAAAGCATTAATTTACTGTTGGACTAAAGAAGCCCCCCATTCAACAACGCCGTTAATTTTGATCAAAAATAGCTTAATTATCATTTTAATTCCTCAACTTTCCATTCATATCTTAATTGTGACTTTTTACGTCAGTTATATATTTAATTTCTTAAATTAATTTTTTAATTATTTCTTAATGCCATGAGAGTCTGAGAGGGACCTTGAAAGGTCCTAGCTAGCTGCAAAAACAAGCAGGAGGGACTAATTCAAAGAGATTCCTTGAGAATTTATTTATTTATTTTCGGGGTAGAAGATTCTTCAAGTATTTTTAGGGACAAACTGATGGTTTAAAAATATTTCTAATTAATTTTTCGTTATGCCGTGAGAGGGACCTTCAAAATTGTAGAGAAAGAGCAGTTATTAAAGGGATTTGATCCAAAGTGACTCGTCAAAATTTTTTGGTGCCATAAAATGGTCTTAAATTGATAATGACATATTAAATGTTAAAGAAGAAACTAAATAAAATGCAGAAATGACGACTAATTAGTTGGGCTAACGAATAAGTTATTTAGGGATATATATATATTGATGATTTAGCCGTGAAAATTGAAGCTTTAATCATTTAATTTGGACTCAACTAGGTCGTGAAAAGCTAATAATAGCAGCAGACAAAATGGTGCGAGGCATTCATTGTGTTTTGTCTCGTCAAAAATAAGATTCATCATTATAAAAAACAAGCTATAGCAATATATGGTATTTGATTTGTTGGCAAATAAAATATAGTATTTAATTTAATATTTAGGAGAATCAATTAGAAACTATAAAGTGACTTTTGGGATGTTCCAATTCCATTATAAAGATACTCTCCTGGTCCTATTTATAAGTTACTTCTAACATATTTTACACAAATCAGAAAAATTTTAAACTTCATTAGTTCTCACTTAAAATTTAATAACTTTCTAACTTCATCCATATTTAAAATACATTATACTTTATATAAATAAAGTCATCATAATAACAAATAAAAGGGTAAAATTGTACATTCATACAAAAATTTTCTCTCAATATCTTATAAATAGGACCAAAAAATATCTTCTCTCTTTACCTGTAAATAGGATGAAAGGAGTAATTATTATATACTTCTTTGGTTCTATTTATAAGTCACTTCTAATATGTTTTACATAGACCAAGAAAAACCTTAAATTTCATTAACTCTCACTTAAAATTTAACAACTTTTCAATTGTATCCTTGTTTAATATACATTATACCTCATCTAAATAAAGTTAACACAATAATAAATAAAGAGTGAAATTATACATCCATATAAAAAATTTCTTTTAGTACCCTATAAATAAGATAAAAAATATCTTCTCTTCCTACATTATAAATAGGACAATAGGAGGCGGAGGATGATGAGAGAGACTAGGAGTATTAGAAGGTGTTTCGATGGAAACCAAACTATATTTTCAAAAGTGCTTTTACATTTTACGAAATAAATATATAAAAGAATTTACCTCGTTTTGCAGAAAAGTACTTTTAAGGGTTGCCAAACATTCCTATATTCTTCTAGCTTCCTTCTCGTAACTTTGTTGTTAGTAGTATACAGTTTTTCATTCAAAATAAATAAATAAATAGGACAAAAGAAGTATAGTTAAGGTTGGGAAAAAAAAAAAGACTATGAGAATAGGATATTAAGATTGAAGATGAAAGGCGGACACTAAAAACTAAAAAGTTTTATTAATTTTTTTCCAAAAATATATTAATTTGTGATATATTAATATGAATGACAGGTGACGATGCATGCACCAGACTGAAAATATTATCTGTATTTTATTATATAACTATTTTTTTTAAAAAGAAGATCTTGAAGAGGCATGCGCATGCAGACTAACAGTGAATGAGGTCGGGAACTGATTGGAAGGATACGTCGTTTTCATGTAAAGCCTAACCATTAATAAGCCTATCAAAATCCACCCGCCAATTAACTAATCCGTTAACTTTTTCCTTAATTAACAAGAAGCTCATTAATTATAAGGGATTATGGTGCTTATAATTATAACAACAAGTGACGTCACAAAGTCATGACTCTGATTTACACATGACATGCGTTACATCAGCAAACCACACGCACGACACTAATTTAGCCATCGTAGTCCTCGAGTTTATAATCTAATTATGTCAAAATAATAATAATTAACTTTATCACCCGTTTTTATTTGTATGTTATCATGCCATGTTAATGATTTAGGCTTTATACTAAAATAGAGGTTGTTTTTATTAGTTTTGCGCAGTAGTAAGATGATATGACACGATGAACATAAACTAAAATAGATTTCTTCTATAGTAACCACTTAAAAAGCATACATACAATCCGATAATACTTAATATTTGAGAAAATGAGAACTAAATCACATAGTAATTAATGCGGCAAGTAATAGAAATCCTAAGGTCAAATTTTTGTTAATATTTTTTTAAGTGTAAAGTTGTAAGTTTAAATTCTCTATAAAAAGTATAATAAATACGTATATGACCAAAAAAACAATAAAAATCAAAATATACAAATCAAAATTAATACAGTACTCTTCCGGTTTTAAATATAAGACCCTTTTCGTAGTATAAATTATATTATAAAAAGATCTTATATTTAGAATTAGAAGAGTAGTACTACCTCCGGTCCTTAATATATATAGACATTATTAGGAAAGACACTATCTACTTATTACAAATAACTAACTTAACTTCTTTCTTTAATTTTCTCAAATTAGTCAATTGGATCTTATAATTAGGACCGGAAGTAGTATAATATAAAATGCAAAGAAAGGAAGTGTTTAGCAACCTAGTTTAGACTGAAGAAAAGGACAAAAGATAAGGTTTAAAAGATCAATTTAATTAGCTAATAACGATTAGTATTATGGGAAGGACAGAGCAGCGGGTGACTACTGATCGGCATGATTTGGGTTGGTATTTTGATTGACATGATTTCTATTTTATAGGGACAATTATTTAGAAATGCTTTCCACTTATGGTAAAACCTAGAAAGAGTCTCTCATAGATAATGTCTATATATAGCATCCAAATGATCCCAAGCGGAAATAGCATTTAAATGAGGACCGTAGATAGCTGGACATGGATTAGTCTGAAAGGTGTTATATATTTGGTGGTTTTGAATAAAATGCAACTGTTTAATCAATTCATCTGAAAAAGAAAACATTATAAGAATTTATTTTTTTATTAAAAAAAAAAAACAAACAAACTTTCCTAAAACAAACTAGGATCAAGGAAAAAAGAACGGTCGAGCCAGAGTTTGGTTGCTGACAAGGACCACCACAAAAGACTGATGTGACCATTTGATCGGGCACACTGCCCGTTCAAGATAGCATTTGCCATGTGCCCGCCATTAATATCAGCCCCTTCTATAACTTTTGATTCCAAAACAATCAACGTTCATGTATATCCAATAGTACTTCAAATAAAGTTGTTTCTAATTAAAAAATATTTGTGATTAGCTAACAAAAACTATATCTTCATTTACCTCCAATTGTCTTTAATTTAAGGATTACAATAGGTTAACCACCATACATACATATTTGAGTAAAGTATACTATATCTTGTCCTTAGTATAAAATTTAGTTGACTAATTTAAAAAGATTAAAAAATTAATTAAGTTAGTTATTTGTAATAAATAAGTGTTATTTTTCTTAAGATACTTTTACTAATCATATGTATTAGATAGAATTACAATTTGATAGAATTTTTAATATGTGTATCTATTATAACGACTACTTTAGAAAAAATAGATAAATATAAAAGACAAAATCTTATATTTAGAACAAAAAAATTAAACAAGTTTTTATATTGAAAAAAGAAAGTAGTATTTAATATATAAGTGAGGTCGAGTGTATGAATTTTGTGATGCAGGAATTTCGATCGACTGTTGAAGGAGCATAATTACAAATCTGATCAACAAATTTTGAAATTTTACTAGAGAACTAAGACATTCTGATTTGACGTTATGTTTCCGTGGTCAATTACCAAAAGATGTTTCACTTAAAAAGAAGTTAGTTTTTTCATCCATTTAAAAATTTATCAAGTTGAGGATAATGCAAATCGAGAGCATGAAACCCTTCAGGTTTCAGATCAAGAGTGAACTTTTGATCATTCAAAAGGTGCAACCGTTTCTCTGGGGCCGACGATTACCATGTTTATTATTATGCAGAAAAGGCTTCCTCATCATCTGTTCCTGTACTCAATTGGGACGATTAATTTGATCAGATGATTAGTTCCGACGCCAACGTCCAATGACTCATTGAATACTTGTGCCCATTGATGGCTTCTTTTTTAAGGGGTTCAGGGAAAATAATAGAGAACCAACCAAGAGGAAGCATGAAGAAGCTCTCAAAGCAGGCATTTTCCCTGGGTGTAAATATCTAATATATCCTGCAAATTCGTGAAAATATTGAAAAATAAAAGGGAAAACAAAAGAAATAAGGGCAAGATCTTTAACTCTTCCTGTTTGACTAAGGAAAAATAATGTCCAGATACAGCGGCCACTTCAGAAACCCATGAATCCAATTTTAAACACCTTCCCCTGAAACAGAAAGGCCATCAATCAATTACATCCACATACTACATTTTCTTTTTTTTGTGAAAACTCATTTGTATGTTCAATAGGCATGTGCTCTTCCGTACATGTAAACGCCCAGATGATCTGGGTATTGCTAAACTATCTCTCTCTCTCTCTCTTCTTTCTCTTTGTTCTAATAGTACTTTTATGGAGAAGATGGATGGCCTTGAAATCTGCTTTTGGGGTGTAACAATGGTCCATCGGTGCCTGACTAAGCCCCATTGCTGATGGCTGCATCATTAGTCTTCACCCTCCGGTAAAATAGAACGTAGGCTGCTGCACTAGCAACCTCATCCTCACTTATGGGTGAAATGTGGCTATCATCGAAGTTATACCACCTATTTTCTTCCAAAAGCTGCACATTGTGACGATAGTGTTAGGAGAAACTCCTGAGCACACCCAAGTTTACCAAAAATTTGTATACAAACTGGGTCGTGAATAAAAGTATGCGAAGATAGTACACATCTCATGCTTGATTAGTAAATTTGGTGCACAATCAGGACAGCAATGCTACTACACAAAAATCTGGTAAAATGTAAATGGTGGAAACCAGTTTGCCCAAGACGAAGACAAAGATTGAATATGAAAAGCAAAGGATGTGACAATACCCAAACCCAAGCTATGAATATATCTTCCAAAATCTAAGGAACTTTTAAGGCCATAGCAACTCCAGAAAATAAAAGCAAATACAAAGTTCTCAGCTTACCTTGATATGCGCTGTGTAATGCCCACTACCCATGCTACCATAATGGTTTGTAAGGGCATATAATTCATAGATTTGTCGTCTGGAGTTGTTTTTGTTGGCTATATAATTTGTTAAGTCGAAGTCATGAATGGGAAAGTTAACAAAAGTCTCTAGCTTATGCTTCATTGACCGGCTATATGAGAACCTCTTTAGATGAATCACCAGCACCTCTGGAAGCCTCCACAAGTCAAGCTTTTTGCTTGCTTGCCGTCTCTCTTTGCACTGAGGACAGTACCTATATCATATTCAGATAGATGTACAGTTAACATAGAACTACTATTTGGCATCACCATAGCTAAGAACAATCACTTCTGCAGTTATAAAATTTCTTCCCTTGCCAAAAATTTTATGCAGCATAAAATCAAATAGGATGTGTTTGTAAATATATAAAATACAATGCAGCATATGCATGGAATCCTTTATCTTAAGCCATAAGGTTGTGTATATAATCACTGATGATGCCCATAAAATGTTATAACTTTATCTTCGTTTTAGCTCACACCAACAGGCTTGATCAGGTCAAGGAGAGCTATTCAATACTTTGATGATAAAAAGGTACAAATCCGGAGGCCAAATAGCTAAAACAATAAATCACATAATTAAGTCATATCCTAGCAAGGTTGCTTGTTTAAGAACTTGGTGCTTCATATCCTTCCTTCGTGCTGCATTAGCTATCCTGTTATGGATACTAAAAAGAAGGTGGTATTTAAATGTTTACAACCGAAAAAATTGTTAGTGTTTCCAGTCCAATCCAGTGCTCAAAGAAAATATCATGCCACTATCATAAGACTTCACAGGATGATCACTTTTCATTCTTTTTTCCCCCTTCTCTTTCTTTGGGCCATCGATTACCTTTCATACTTATAAAAGGAGGATATAACCCCATGGGAGTAAAATCAATAAGGTGCAACATCACCATCCATCATCACCCTTAGTTTAGAACCAGCAACAACTCAAAGAAGCTAAAGACGGCCAGGAGGAAATAGATTCCTCCTCTAGCATGACTTGCTTATTGCCCAAACTAGTGACATTGTTGGAGGCAAACAAGAACAATAATTGCCTTATGAGAAGATTGATATTGCAGATATTTATCAATGCACACACCATATTAATCTCATCAAACATGGGCTAGAAGGGCAGGGTTGCAGATGAGAGAAGGTCGAGGAGAAACTAACCACATATCTTCAGGCACCAGAGGTTCTTCACGCAGAAAAGCTTCCAAGCAAGTATACAAAGAGAGAGGTTCAGTACGAGCTTTCTTGGTCGCAGGCCCATATTTTAAAACTTCTGGCAAATTCTCAAGTGGCTGAGTATCATACTTTTCCAGAAGCTTCTGTGACCAATCAACATATACTAGGACTGTTGCAGAAGACGGAGACAGTTTCACCACTTTTTCCTCTCCCATTGAGAGATCAATGCAAGCATTAGTATCATCCACTAATTGAAGAGGTAACTTAGATATTGGTGCTTTGGAATCAGTGCCATCCTTATTTGGCAGATTTGACGACATGGTTCCAGCAGATGCTTCGACAGGATTAGTCCCACTGCCTTGATCTGACGTTGCTCTTGGGATGCTGGATTCAGAATTACTAGCTTGTTCCACATTACTGCCTTTCCTCAAAAGAGGAGAGAGCATACGATGAACCATTACCTGTATATCACCTCTTGTGACTGCATCATCGCATGAGATCAAGGAAACAATAGGTGTTCCATATGGTTTCCATCCTGATATGGTCTGGGACTCACTATTCCTAGAACACAAAATTTACACATGGAGGAACATCAGAAAGCAGTAAAGACACCAAAAAGAACAGCATACAAAATTATGTTCAATATAATGTACACCGTGAGATGTAATGTGATGCAGCCCTGCCATTTCACCTTTAACATGGGTCCAGAGAAGAGGAATTCATAGATTTAATGAAAAAGTTAAAAAAATGTTCTATATCTAGAATCCATATAATAATATATTTTTCCTGAATTACAATTGTAAAAAAACGACTGATGTAAGAAATTACATAGTTAATATGTTTATTATTTGTGCTTGTTTGCCTCTGCTTAAAAAAAGCATTTTTGTACTTTACAAAACAAAACTCCTCTCACATATTTACCTCATACAGCACAAAATTACTCAATAAGTAAACTCCCTAAGAAAGTTTCTATTTGAACATTTTATTACAAATTCAAGTTGACTTCAGTGGCACATATAACTAGCACATAATATGACATGTAAGTGAGAGAAAAAATACATACTGCTCTCTACGGCGGTGTATTAGCTGGAGATATTTTGTTTTTTTGTTGATCTTCGGAATCTTGTAAGCAGCAAGATGGTCATCATCTTTAACTGTAGACAATGATATGAGAGGGTCTTCTAGAAATCTTTGGATCAAATGGTTACGTATCTGCAAATAGCAGACCAACATAATAATGTACCTAGTTAGAATAGAAAACAGCAGTAACTCCAGCAAAAATGTGTAAAGTTTAATATATTCTAGCACACACCTCCACAAGCGACAGCCTCTCATTAGGCTTCAATGAACAAGCATTGCTAAGTGCCTGAATCAGATCTCTGCAGCGCCCCTGCTTAGGCACTGTCACAGTACAAGCAGATGGCAGGGCAGTTCCATCGCAAGTAAAAACTGTCACCGTCATAGTCCTAGTGGTGGTGGACTGAAGTGGCAAGGAAAGGTACATAAAAGGATCAAATGTGACAGAGACTTTATTGCAAACTGGACAAACCAAAGTTGATTGTATTGACCCTATCAAATGAAGAATTATATGAGAAGGTGAATTCAATAGGAACAAGAACAAGAGAACAAAGAAGACACTGAAAACATTTTCAACAAGTAGTCTGGAGTCCTGTGTTGTTATAGTGGACATACAACAGCAGCATTGACAAACGTCAGACATGTCCTCAGAGAAGGTGTAAAAACCATGCATGCTGGAAAGAATAATTTTCTCGACTTACAACAGTCTTTCTCTTCGGGACAAAGCACACTTCATTTGTGAAGAAACCTAGAGTGGTCCTGATGATGCATGGAAGCAACCATTTATAAGCCATATTTGCTTTCATAGTGGTTTTCCATATGCCACACACATACTGGCGTCATAAATAACCCTATTAAAGATCCACCACATTTGCAGACAGTAAAACGGTTCTTGAACTTACACAATTCCCCACCTTATGATGCAAATAAAAATGAATTAATAAACAAGTGTACAGTTCCTCGACAAGGCATACCACTTCAATTATTCTACATGGAATACAAACATATATGTCAAATTTCATTTGCAAGGCACTCTATGCAGCATTGTCAGTCCATAATATGAGGAAAAGCTGTTCCTGACAAGCTAATATCAATCCATTAGCAACAAGACAATGAAACATTTTTAAATAACCCACTTTACCCACCTGACACACGTCAACAATTATCGAATCATTACGAGCAATATGATTTGCCCAATACTCATCAGCCACTTCCTCATCCGGTCGACCATCAGCATCTCTAGACTTTATATATGGTTTATGTTTTACACGATTTAGATCTTCATGGAGACCATCAAGTAGGAATGCTAAAAGTTCCTGAAAATAATGAGCATGTATTAATAAAGATTATATGACAGTAACTAAAGAGATGGTACAAACTTTCAGTCAGCAAACCAACCTGAGAATCATGCTGATTGTGACCACTGAACTGAGGTGCAAAGCGTGCAAGCTTTGCTTTAAAAGGTCGGGGAGCAATTGGGGTTCGCCCAGGTGCCCATAGCTTTCGAAGCAACTCACCAAACGCAAGGGCTAGTTCACCCTATTAAAGGAAGATTAAAAATGATTTTCTAAGTATGATTTTGTATTACCCCTAAACACGTATACAAAATGTCAGTCTGATGTTAAGCAATACTCATCAATTATGATCTAAAACCCACAATAATAATCATATAGTAGGCAGAAAGTCATTCCCGATGATGGATAGAAACTATTGACTATCAAGGTGAGCCCAAGAAGTCGCAACTTTGAACGAAGGTTTTGTGAATTTACAGAAAAAGTGATTATTAAAATCCTATGAAAAGACAGACATGCAAACAAGATGAAGAACAAAATCTTCATAGAATGTAACAGTAAAGATAGTCATTTTCAATGTATGAAAGATATCATAATAGATAAGCACGATCACAGATTCACAATAATAGCTTGCTTGGTGTGGCCAACACAAACCATCTAGATTGTGATCATAACCTGAGATAAATTCTAAAATGAAATACAGAATCAGTGAGTGAAAGAAATTGATAAATCAACAAAAGTCTCTGCTAGCCACTTCAGCTACTGGACGTGCATTTTAACAATATAAGAAATACTAAATCCCAGGACCATGTGGTTAACTTACATATCTATTGACTAAACTACATATCTATCTCAAAACAAAATCTCACTTGAAGCTTCATAAAGGAAAACTTTCAAAGAGAAGTAAACAACTTCAAGCTTATTGCTTTTTATATAATACTTACAACCATGCCCAATGGATTTTGCCAATTTATCTCTTGATGATAATCCTCCCGAAAGTACCTAGCAAACTCCGGAGTATGAACAAGACACTGGATCGCACTATTCATAAAACAAGTATTGCCAAGGTTCAGCAATCCAGTGAGACCACCTGAAGAACCTCTCGTGCTAACACCACTGGTTCCACAAGTATTATCTACGTCTCTAACTGTAGAAGTCAGGTTTTGAGATGAGTAAAGCTCAGCATTATAGTTTCTAGGTGCTCCCTTGCTGGCAGATAAGCCGCCACCAATTGATAAGCCTGACTTGGATGGCTCTGCAAGAGCAGAACTTGATTCCCTCAGTGCAGATCCATTGTCCTGAGCAGAACTTATGCTATTCATATTGTTAAGGACCTCCACAAGAATCTGTACGAGTTTCATCAGAAACCAATGAAAAACAAAGATGTCAAAAGGTAAGCCAGAGCAAGAGGAATATCAATACATCAGAGTGAGAGGAGACCAACATCCTGGTCCATTTGTATATTGGCATCATCAAGTGTTTTGTCCATGTCATTCATCAAGGCGTGCTTCCGACGGCCATAGTAGTCCCAAATGCGTACCTAAACAGATGCAACCTTTTGATTACTACATGCTGAAGGTTAAAAACCATTTCTTGATATTACAGTTTCAAAAGGAATCACAAAGAGCTTCACTTGTTCTGACTGAAGATCAAATATTTCACAAGCTTTTCGGTGAAGCTGTCCAACAGTTTCCTGCCCAAAACATTTCAACTCTAAGGTAAATAGAGAAACAAAAAAAAAAAACAAAAAGGTTCTTGCAACAAGTGCTGAAATTATAATTTGGCTCATTATTTCCCGTCACATCATACCTTCTTGCTTATTCTTATAGTGGCCCGATCACCTTTTGGCATCACAAGTAACTGAAGCCTTAAAGGATACACCTCTACGGCCAATTCTGTCTGTGAAAGACCTGAACAAATGGCTTTCCTGGCCAATGTAGGACCACCACCATACCTAAAACAATAGAATCGCCATTATTGTCAAACATCGTAATATAGCTATTATTGTCTAATAGATGGATATGCACTGGATAATGATTTCACTGATTGCATCTTCTCTTTTTAGGACATAGAGGAATGCGACCAGAAATCAAATTTGCAATTCCTTCATATGTTTTAGTTCTTCCACACAACTAAATCATCATTTCTTCATACAATAGCAGTAAAATATCAAAATCCCCCCCCCCAACCCCTTCTTATGGCTCAAATCAACTGAACTTGATTTTTTCAAACAAGGGCAAATGAAATCTAACATGCAGCTTAACAATTAACTGCTCAGGATGACATCAGGTTTACCCATCAACAAGTTAGTACCTACCAGCAGATTGCTGAAAGATACCACGAAAAGAAAGAAATCAGGAGGGGGGGTAACTATTTTCACTAATGAGACGAAGTGGATTTAACCTGAGCAACAAGCAAGCAATCTCACCATAAATATAATTGATTCCAAACATCTCGGGGAAGCAATACATAGTCTCTGCCCTCTAACAAAGTATCATGGATCTCAGCACCTGCCCCAGAATCCTCAGACGTTCCATCATATATCAAATCAGAATTATCAATACCAGATGGCCTTTTTAAAGCATTTAAATTAGCCAAATCACAATGCTCTGAAAAGGAAGCCCCATCATATGCATTGTTTGTTTGGTCTTGGTTCACATATTCAATCCAATGCTGC